GGTATTTATAATTGTTGAATTATCTTTACTAAATGCTGATAAAATCAGGTACTAGATGTTTACTGTTTGCTGATGAAATAATTAAAACTGAGTAAAAATAGATGGAGATTTACAGTATATTAAGAGTCATTAGAATTTGTTTTCTAAGTGGACAGGTGACAGTCCTGCAGTTATGGGAGACATCTTGGTTTTAGAATGTATACAAAAATCCAGGGAAAGTTTAGAGGTGTGATAATGTATGTTCATCTGTCCTGATAAGGGTATTTCTGAGTTACAGACATAGCAATCGGGAAGAGAAAGGGAGAGCTAGAAGCCCTTCCCCTAAAAAGAGCTATCGACGACAGCATACTCCGGGTTACACAAGGTAACAAGATCTTGTCCCTGTGCTTTTGGATGGAAGTTGCCCTGGCGATTGTGAAACAGCTGGGTGTAATCTGTGAACGAAATTTTATTCAGTTAGCTAAAATAGATTGGATCGGATATCCAGAAAGTCAGACAGGGTCCTAAAGTGCTCAGTTTGGTGCTCTTGAGCTTAATTGCTAGTTAACACCTTGGACAGCTTCCCAAACCAATTCACGTGGTTGCTGGTTCTCCATGTGTCCCGCATCACTGTGCAAGGCAGTAATGTGAAGTCAGCCTTTGTCCCATGGACTGTTAATTAGAAGCATTCTGTTTCACTGTCATCAGGAAAATATGACCTTGACAGCATCATCTTAGCAGTCAACTGAAAACAAGAAGGCTGAAAAGAGGGAGAAAACAGACTCTTGCTAGGGGCGTGGTAAAGCAGAACATTTAGACATGTACTTACAAGCTTTGCTGATTGGCTACCAAAGAAAACACGATGTTAAACAGCCCTAATTTTGGAGATTGTAAATCATCTTAAAGATTGGAAAGCAAGGGGGCGGGGCGGGCCCAGCGTGCTATTGATTCACAGCAGTGGTGTTTTCTACACAAATAGAAAGATCTCTCCAGAGGAACTAGAGCGTAAACGCCAGGAAATGATGGAAAATGCCAAGTGGCGGGAAGAGGAGAGAGCGAACAACCTCAGGAAACACCGAAAGGAGGAGGAGCTGGAGCGAGAACTGGAGAAACTCGACTCCCGAGATGGGAAGTTCTTCAAGTGAGTGTCTTTTATTATCTGCTTTTTCATTCAAGGGAAGTGTAGGCCACAGCTTCTATGGAGCTTCTGTGGAGGAGTGAGTGATGGCCTCAACGTTTGAGATGTTTCTGATTATAGTATAAGATCCATCTCTGCTGTGTTTTATGGTAGAACTAATGACATCTACTGTTCCCAAATTCTCTTCTTAACCCAAAAGATAGCTATTTCTATGATGGCCTTGGTAGTCAGACTCAGAAACCGGTAATAAGTTATTTTTTGCCATCCTGTAGAAATGCCTAGTAGTGTTTTACATGCAGATATTAAAAAGTTCTCTGTTTTTAGGAGCTTGCAACAGTTTTAGGCCTGCAAGTCTGTGTGCCAAGAGCTTGTGGGACTGAAACCTGTGCTCAACAAGCAACAAGACCATTTCTAAACACAGGTGGTAACTTACAGTCCCTTGTGCACACGGCAGGCAAAGGAAACTGGAGTGGCGCAAGGCCTTCCAGAAAGTGCAGTGGTGTGTAAGAAAGATCTTATAGCAGTGTTACGTATTTTGGAGTTGCTGCAGCATAGTATTCTCCAGGCTCTATAAATTAATCAGAGGAGAACGTATACTTAATTCCTGAAGCTGTCCAGAACTGGAATCACATAAGTCACCGTGAGCAAAATCTCTTGTGGAGAGAGATTTTTATGTGTTTCCCTGTGTAGAAGCAACTGGTTGAGCTAACAAACTTTCTGTTTATTGGCATGTTGTTTGAACAGGGAGATGGGAGGAGATCATTCAGAAAAGCACAGCAGTGTGATCTGAAGTAGTAGAAAAGAGCGAGTGGTCACAAGGATCCCCTCTCTCTCCTGTAGCTAACGTAGTCATTTACAGCGTGAGCTCTGGCATTCCCAGAGGACTGCTGCCCTCAGTTCAGGAACACATTGCTTTTCCCTCGTTTGCTTCACGGAAAGCAACCAAGTCCCCTGTGGCGGATGCATTTGTAATTAACGGTTAGTTATATTTGGAAGACGGAGGAGACTTGAGAGCTACTGAAAATATATTTCTGAGCACTGACCTTAAGTAAGGCATTGAATCTGTTACAAGCCAAGCTAAAAGATCTTCAGTTCTTTCAGTACAGACTTTAATAGGAAATAATTTGCTGGTTTCTATGTTAGATTAATTTGGGTAGATGACTTGGGGATGGTGGATCCTGCTAGAAATGGTGTAATGTTTGGAAGGAGATTCTAATATCTTTCTTCGATTCAATTTTCTGCAGTCGCTTAAAACTCGAGAGTGCGTCTACCTCCACCCTAGAAGATCGGGTGAAACGCAATATCCACTCCCTTCAGAGGACGCCCGCTGCCTTGGAAAAAAACTTTATGCAGAGATGAAACTTGTTCTTCCTCTGCTCCTGTGTTAAATGGAGACTTATTCCCAAAGGTGAGAGACCTCCAGCACAGGCTCACTGCTCTCTCCAGGAACAGTTGCCATCTCCCAAAGAGGCGCTGGATTTCTGTGCTGCAGCCTGCGGCGGGTTCTGGACTTCTGGCATTGTGAATACACCTGTAATGAGTGTGACCTTGCAAGCAAACCTTTGCTGGAGAACTCGTGAGCCTTTGTATTCTATTTTTAATGTATTCCCAGATCTTTTCCTTCTCTCTCCACCTTGACTGGTATCATTTTTGTATATATTGTTATTACCAGATTATGCCAGGTGGTAACTGCTTTCTACATTGGGCAGGTTGTCCGAGCTCTTTATATGACAGAGCAAAAGACCTATTTTTGTTAGTCCTTAAAAATCGGAGCAGAACAAATGCACGTGTGAGTTAATTTCGTGGAATTCGATAAAGCTACACGAGTGGCAGGCAGAATCCTGCTCGATACTGTCACCATTTCAGGTGTGG